TATTCTATAACTTTCTATATGTATAATTTATACCCCCTACCTACTTAAAGCCAATAATTAACATTTTTAAAGGATAAATAAATCAGAAATGATAAGATGTGCCTAAAAAAGAAGAACTTAAAAAGAATAAGCCATTTAGAGATAAGGAAGAAACATTAACATTAGAAAACTAGAATGGAATCATTGGCACAATTATGCACTAACTATACTTGTTCTTTTCCAGAAACTTAAACAAAATAAAAACCCAACATGTTCTGGAATTCCTGCTCTTTCCCTCTTTCTTTCTTTCTTTCTTTCTTTCTTTCTTTCTTTCTTTCTTTCTTTCTTTCTTTCTTTCTTTCTTTCTTTCTTTCTTTCTTTCTTTCTTTCTTTCTGTCTTTCCTTCTTTCTTTCTTTTTTCTTTCTTTTTCTTTCTTTCTTTTTTCTTTTCTTTTCCTTTTCTTTCTTTCTTTTTGTTTTCTTTCTTTCTTTCCTTCTTTCTTTCTTCTTTCTTTCTCTCTCTCTCTCTCTCTTTCAGCTCTAAATATTGTATGCTGAAAGTTTTGCTGGACGCTGGAATAACAAAATAACAAATGACATGTTTTGAAATTGTTCTAATGTTTTACATATATTAGCTCAATTACTAGTCCCAACAATCCGGTATTGTAAATTCTATTGTAATCCTCCCTTTACAGATGAGAAACTTAAGGCACAGGTGGGATTCAAGCCAGTAAGCAGGGGAGCTGTAATTTTATTTCAGCCAGCCCAGCACTGGGTCCATGTTTTTAATCACTATACACACTACCTGTCTGCAAAATCAGATATGAAAGGAATTTTCTTTACCCTCATACTGTTTTTGGTGCAGTCAAATCTATGAATTTTTTTCTTTGATAGCTTCTGGGTATGTGTCATATTTTGAAAGGCCTTTCCAGTTATAAATTTACATAAACATTATCGTATAATTTCTGTTAACTTCGAGGTTTCATGTTTTATATTTTAAAACATTTTACCTACTAGGAATGTATACAGATACAAAATATGAGGTTTACTGTTTTATAATCAGATATGACCGTGGCTCAACATCATTGATTAAAGAATACATCTTTCCATTACTGAGTTAAAGTGCCACCTTTTCATATAATAAATTCTTTTATGTACTTTAGTCTATATCTGGACTTGATTTTCAATTTGCTAATGATTTTTCATGCGCTAGTGTCACAGTCATCAATATATGGTATTAACTTGCTTTTAATGATTATCAAGTTCAAGTCTGCCTTAATAGGTTATGGCAACATGCTAGTGAACTCATATATCTGCGTGGCAAAATGGTATATGTATACTGGGTTCCTTGACATGAAAATGTAAATTGCACCTGTCTGGCTTCTGAAACTGGTGTTGAAAAGAATGCACTAGCTGAGTCTGCAGCAGTGTATGAGTCTTACTAGGTTTGTTGAGTTTCCTGTAAAGTTCTGACTTAGGTGGTGTAGCTGAAACAATTGGTGGAACCAACTTGTTTAATCACCAAGCCTGTTGTTAACCTCTTCCTTACTTACTGGCCAGATGGGACTATTATGAGGGAGTTTATGGGAATTAAAACTCTTGTTTCAGCTACTTCCTTAATCAAAACAGGCATCTCTTGCTGCCCCTCTGGAGTTCTATCTTGCTTAGTTTCACTAGCTAGAAAGGCTTGAGCAATTCCAAAGCTATATATTTAGCATGAGTAAATAATACTGAGTGACTTTGAAGTGAATGAAACATCAACTAAATCAATGTTTCATTCACTTAAAATCCATCTCTACTATGCATTTAGGTAAAGCTGATGTGACCACAGAATAATCACCACAGTCACACTTTCCCATTCATAAATTTATATCTACCTTGGGTTTCACCACCACAGTGTCTTCCATATCATCTTTGGACCCTTTAGAGCATCATAACTCTCTCCAAAGGCAATGACTATACTGGAGTGTCTGTGCATACTCATCCTAAGAAGTTTCACATGCCACCCTTGGGACATTTCACCCAAATTATTGCATAGGCCTGGAGTACCTGCTCCTTGTTACTGTGAGCCCTGGGTACTGAGGTTTCCCTTATTGCTTTCCCTGAACTATAGCTACCCCTTTGCAAATAGTCTCTTTATTACACAGATACACTGTGTCATCTCATTCCTGCTGTAGCCCAGTTCTTGTGGACACAGGAAATTACAAGCTTCATATACTTCAATACTGAAAAGACCATATAAAACCTATAGTCTTTGATTTCACTCTAGCTAATAAAGCATAATGTTAAAACCTGCATCCTGTAATGAGTAGTTGTCAAAGAAGAACATACGGGAGGATAAAAGGTTTGTTAATTCTGATGTATGAAATGACAAGTCTGTACTCTTTAGAATAATTTAGAGTGAATGGAAAAGGCTGAAGCTCAAAGTGTCTGCAAGGCATTTTTATGATATGCTAAGACTATAATGCCTAACTTAGGCTGGAGTGAAGCCCACGTAATGTTAATTTCTATTCATGTAGTCTCTTGACAACTTAAAACTTCTTTATTTTTACATTTCAGAAATACTAACTAGCTCTTAGTTACATTTCTTTGGAAATATAACACAGCTAATAAATAAAATTCTGATTTGTAGAAATTTTGGATTTAAAGCAGTTTTAATATACTTCAGATTATTAGCTGAAATGTATAAACCCTTATATTTATATAAATAAGATATATTGCACATATCATGACACATTTTTTCATCTACATAGAATAACACTTATTTGAGTTTTGGTGATGAGAAAACTGAGTCTTAAGAAGAAGTCCCACCCATGTTCTCTTAAGACAACGCAAGGTGATTAAAGCCCGAAACGAAGGAGTAAAACCATGAAGAAAATGAAGAAACCTCAGTAACATTAGAGGCTAAAATTATAAAGGAGTTTCAGTCTGGAAATACTAAGACTTTGAGCATCTATTAATTACAAGGTATAAAACATTTATGAGAAATCTGCCATGAATGTCATAAATTTCCAGAAATCTTGACTTAGAAGGTACGCTTTGTATTCTGAAAGATCATTTGATGTTAAGAGAGGAAAAAAGGAAGGAAGGAAGGAAGGAAGGAAGGAAGGAAGGAAGGAAGGAAAGAAGGAAGGAAGGAAGGAAGGAAGGAAGGCAGAGGGGAGGGCAGGTGGAGGGAAGGTAAAGGGATTAGAAGGGGAGGGAGGGGGAAGGAAGGAAATAAGGAAAAAGTACTTGAGCTAGGGAGAACGCTCAAAATTTCCACAATCAATAATGGAACACACTGGAAGTAGAAATACAGTCAGACAAAATGTAGATGACTTCATGATGTTCAACTTGCTGGAGTTTTTAAGGGACATTTGAGGCATATACCAAAACTTAATTTTGAGTTATAGAAGACAGTCCAACAATGATACAAATTTTCTTGCTGTTCTGTCAAAAAGAACATTATGCTAAGATATTATTCTAGCCCAGGGTAGTGTTTCAGTAATAATAACAGCAGAACTTGTATTTGTTTCTTTATTTATTGAGCCATAGTTGCTCTGTCACCCAGGCTGGAGTGCAATGACACGATCTCGGCTCACTGCAACCTCCTCCTCCTGGGTTCAAGTGATTCATCTGCTTCAGCCTCCCAAGTAGCTGGGGCTACAGGTGTGCACCACCACACCCAACTAATTTTTGTGCTTTCAGTAGAGAAGGGACTTTACCGTGTTGTCCACACTGGTCTTGAACTCCTGGCCTCAAGTGATCCACCCACTCAACCTCCCAAAGTGCTGGGATTACAGATGTGAGCCGCCATACTTGGCCAGAAGCTGAATACATTAAGAGCCTATACTGCATTATGTACCAGGCCCTGTGGTGAGTATATGACATGGGTTATGTCTCTGAACATTTAAAGAACATAATGCATTATCTCTATTCTCAGAAAAAAACTGAGGCCTGAGGAGGTTAAACAACTTGCCCCATACCACACAACAAATACCTAGGGGAGTCGTGATTCCAATCAGGTAACATGAATCAAGAGCCCAGGCTCTTAAACATGCTCTCCTGCATTTGAAGAGAGATGGCCCTTGATGTGAAGTGACAGGTAAAGACACACACACACACACACACACACACACACACACACACACA